ATATATATATATATATATATATGGTGTTTTTTTATTCTTTCAGAATTGTCTAAAAACAACCGTGAAATCTACACTTATGCGGTGTGTGCAGGTGAGTTATGCGGCCAGGGGGACACAGTATAGAGAGATAGTCGCGACTTTCAGTCGGCTAATGAAGTGAAATTTGTTAATTAACCTTTTAACTATTGCAAATAGACTTATAGTTTCAATTAGAAACTTTCCGAGTATCATCGAACACCACTAAATCAACTCTTTTTAGAAATATATAACGCCAAAGGCAGCATTTTACAGCATTCTGTAAAAACGCTCCATTTGGACGCGTTTCTAGATTCCAGTTTCTTATCGGAGCGTATCTACGCGCCCGCGGTCCTGCTCCCCAGTGGCTGAGACCCGCAACGCACGTGCTCCTTACTTCCCTCCATTCTACGAGGGAGGCGACGAGGCACATTAAATCCCAAGAATAAGGCATTTAAACGTGGGGTATACGCACACTTGATAAACTAGAATCTCAAAATTTTCACATCGAGTGACTGCCCATGCGACTTCTCGGGTCTGCATGCACTGCTACTCCGCAACAAGGAGGCTTTCTAGAGATGACAAGAAAAAACTCAGCAACCTAAACACTGTTTGAACCAGCAATCGGAAGAGTGCAAACGCCTGTCAAGCGCTCGCGTCCGGGACAAGCCGTTTATTTCCGGTGGCTTGATACCTGTCTGCTCGATGCACCATCCAGCCTCCTACAGTAAAGATCAGTGGGCAGACGTCACTTTTACTCTTGTGATGCAGTTCCCCAGGTTCCCATAGGTTGCAACCTGCTACTCAAACTTAGTCAGGTCTGCAGCCCTGCGGGAAATATCAATTCCACACTATTACACGTAGACACCCACATTTTACGTGTACCTAAAAGAAGCTCTAACACAGAGGAAACAAAATGATCGGCCCTTTTTGAATGCATCCTTTTCCTTTGCTGAGAACATACATACAAGTCACGCGATTGTCAACATTCAGTGGTGCGGCCTAATTTATAATGAGCACCCTTAATATAACTTCCAGCATTTAGAGAAAGGATTCAGTATAATGGGTCGGACATAAATGGTTGCTATGAACTATCCTATACATTTACACATTACCTGATATCATAAAAGCACTAGAGCAGGTAGGGCTGTACTGCACTTATTACAAATGTATAACCAATTAAAAGTCTGCATTTATTTAATTTATTACACTAATGGCTATTATTCTTTGACGGAAAGAATAACTGGGCGAGTTAGTACGTTGGTAGTCTTTCAACTCGATCTAATAATTAGGTTATTTTCGAATTTTTTTATGCTTTTGCTTTTTCTAATTATTCTGAATTTCGTAGCGGCTTTCGCCGCCACTAAAAAACGTGACATCCAAATTCACTTTATTTACATCACATACTGTATTCGTAAACTTAGAACGCGTGCCGCTTCGGCACACGCAGACACCGCGCGTCTCTACGGCACAGGCAGCAGCATAGGCAAGATCTCATGCTCCTCGCTCTTGTAACGTTTTTCCCGCTCCTGCTTTATGAAAAAAATCGATGGCGAGAGGTTGTGGGGACCACACATCATAACTAGCATGACCTTCGATCGCTTGAACTGCCGTCATACTGCACTTGAACGCTCCGCAAAAGCGTCGTCGGGCGAGCATCGTAGGACGGCGCTCAGAACAGGCCCTCGGCTGGCCCTCGGTTACGCCGCAAGCGAATCTTTCTCACTCTGCGGAGAGAACCATAGGTTTTGAAGAAGATACGCTCTTTTCAAATAACAAAATAGCACCGGGTAGAGCACAGTTAGAATCAAGCAGAACTTAGCAAGCAAACGGTACATTACAAAGTTTGAAACAGCGGCGCACTTCGCAAAAACAAAAAAAAAACTTCCTCACCGACGCTTGCAACAGTCGTTCATGGGCTGTCCGCCACTTACTTCCGTGGGTAAGACGCAGCGTCGCCCAGCTCTCAGTCATAGCTTGCTATTCTTAAACACTGCATTCGTAAGGAAGATATCTCAAATGTCCGCTAAAACGGCTTAAACTTAAAAAGGAAGCATTCTCGAAGCCTCCGGAACCACTGATCTCTATTGTAGGATTGGGAGCCCGTCGGTGTCGCCACGGGCGGCCATTGCTTGACACCAGGCCATACACGCAAGTCTATGGTTATCAACGCACAAAAGTAAAAATATTGAAGCATGTGCGCTGTCCTCGGGGCAAGTAATTTATGGTGAGCTGCGATCCTTACGTCGGGTGTTTGGAGATTGAATCAGTAATTGTCAAACGTTCCATCGCCGATTAAAAACAAACGTACCGAAGCACCTACGGTGCTCTCGTAGTGGAGTAAACAAAGGTACTTGCCGTCAATGAGACCGCCCTCGGGGAAGCCCAGAAGTTGATGAATGACAAAGAAGTTCCATCTCGACAGCGGCTTTCCGGGAGTGAGCGAACTGCGCGTAGCTAACCTTCGAGCTTGTTGTCTGCTAAACCCAACTCAACGAAACCGCCACCGACTCCGCGGTAGCTCTACGTAACTCTCACCTCATTGAGCTGCACTACATGTTTCGCCCAGCGGAGTCACTCTTAACCAAAAAATATATATTTATAAGAACTGCGAGGACTGTCAGTTTTAATGTTTGTACGCAAGCTGTTTCACGGGCTTATCGAAAAACAGCCAAAAAGTGTCAGTGCCGACACAAGCTTAGAAAAGTGAAAGCCGTTTACAACTCCCTGTAACACCGAATTAGAGCGCAGCTCTTGAGGAGGAGGAGGGAAGGGTACTGGGGGGGGGTCAAGTGACCTGGGGGGGTCACGTGACGATGCCGATGATGCCATCAGTGACGTTACTGATGACGTCATCAGTGACGATGACGATGCGGATTCCGATGACGTCATCAGTGACGTCACTGATGACGTCATCAGCGATGATGACGATGACGATGCGGATTTCAGTGACGTCATCAGTGACGTCACTGATGACGTCATCCGCGATGATGACGATGACGATGCGGATGCAGGTGACGTCATCAGTGGCGTCACTGATGACGTCATCAGTGATGATGGCGATGACGATGCGGATGCCGGGGACGTCATCAGTGACGTCACTGATGACGTCATCAGTGATGATGACGATGACGATGCGGATGCTGGTGACGCCATCAGTGATGATGATGATGACGATGCGGATGCCGGTGACGTCATCAGAGACGATGACGTCATCGGGGAGGTCACGTGACCTCTGCCGGGGTCACGTGACCCGGGGGGTATCACGTGACCTCCCCCGGAGTCACGTGATACCCCCCGAGGTCACGCGAACCTGGGGGGTCACGTGACCTCGGGGGGGGGGGGGGTCACGTGACCTCAGGGGGAGGGGTCACGTGAGCTCGGGGGGTCACGTGACCTTGGGGTGACCTTGGTTACGCCGACGGCGACGCCGACGCCGACGCCGACGCCGCTCGAGCCGGGAACGGGCCCCTAAGAGCTGCGCTCTAAACCAGGGGAAACAGCACTTTTTCTCGTTCTTTGCATAGAGCCCCATGCATTAGCTGGTGTCAAGCAATGGCCGCCAATGGCGACACTCGGCCCCAGCTGCCGAGGACGCGGTCGCCGATGCAGCCTACTACAATAGAGATCAGTGTCCGGAACTCCAACGGCAGCCCAATGCAAAGGGGTAGAGGGGTGATAAACCGGAAGTTCGGAAGTGGCACCCCCCCGGTTGCCGCCATGCTGTGCGAAAATCTGACTACACGTCACGTGACCTCCCAAGAACCGTGACGTCACCGGTAAGATGGTAACGCCCAGAGCTGGCGGATGCGGGTTTGTTCGGTGCGCGGTAGCCGTGATGTGCAGCTGCTTTCCGACGACTACGGGCTGCTTCGTGTTTGCTGACGCAGGTATAATGCGAAAATATGAAAGAATGAGACTTTATACCCTTGTTGCGCAAGATCGCTCGGGAATATCTGGATATTAACACCTGTGAGACAGCATCAGCCGTATCGCCGTCCCGGTGCTCGGATTCCCGGATGTGTTCGAGGATCGATATTACTTTGAGTGTTTTAGCATGAAATTTTCGCATTCTCTTAGCTTTGTTTGAACGTTGGAATCTCTGACAATCGGCGCGAAATGTATGCGTCGGACGTAGGGCCTAGAGGAATTTGTTTCAGTCCCAGGTAACTGCATAATCACAACTTTAGCGAGAAAGCTTCTGCGGTATTTACGTTTTGCACTAATCAACAATTTTACGACATAACTTCTATACTTCGTTTCACCTTAAGTCCAGACGCAGGCGACGCTACAAGGTGAAGGTTCCAATCAGAACTCGTGAAAAGCGCACCATCATCATGTTCGTCATGTTTCTGCACCTGTTATATCATGGCTGAACGAATCATAAACAGAAAATGTCCCAGTGACTTGCTCTTTTCACGCTGCTTGATTGGTCCTTTTACTTCGTAGCTTCGCCTGCGCCTCCACTTAAGCTGAAACAAGTATAGCGTAAAATATTCGCATTTTTTCTAGCCTTGTTTGAACGTTGGAATGTCTGAGAATCGAAGTCAAAGGTATACGTCGCGTTAGGGCCTAGGGGAAGTTGTTTCAGCCCTGCGTCACCGAATAACCCTACCAACTTTTAGCGCGGAAGCTCTTGCAAGCTTTAACCTTTTGTTCTAATTTACGATTCTACATTGGATCGCAATACTTTTTAAAGTAAAAAGTTGTCGTTTGCTTAATTGACTTGCACGCAAACTCTTACAAAGCACTCGAACCAATCATTCGTAAAAAAGTTCATTACTTGTGTTCATAGAACAGTTTAGTTCTCCCGTTGGAACTCAGAACACAGCAAGTCTTCACATGTTTGATTAATCAGTGTACAAAATGTTGCATCCGATGTCCATTAGAAAATAGTATTAGTGTATCAGTCAGCGAGGCATCCGGTTCAGCGGGTAGGAAGCAAGTAACTTCGTCTTTATTGTCGTCTACCACTCAGTGTGGTGTTGGCGCTAGTATCGTGACCGTTACATCTCCCTTTCTTTGGACTATGAAAAACCAACAAGAAATACATACGAAAATAAACAAAATACACAAAACACGAAATATAAAAAGCAATAACTCAAAAGCCCGTTAAGCTTGCTGCTGGAAGTTCTGATCGTAGTTTAGCCTTTGGGGTCGCCGCACAGTTCGGGTTGATGTCCGAGCAACACAAGGTCCAAGTTCACTAGCCCGATCATCCTCTGTTCTCGCTGCGGAGTTGACTGCAGCTGGGGAGCTGGTCGGAGTTCTCGTTGAAGTAGCGACTGTGGTTGTGATTGCTGGATCATCATACTGCACTGTTGGGGTCAAGGCAGCCGGTGCAGCTTGAATGCTCGTCAGGCCACAGGATGGGGAATCCTCCAGGTGCTCCTCAAAGTAAACGGAACTCATCAGCTCTTCATTCGTCGGTCGCAGGTGTTCTCTGTTGCGTAGATATTCCCGGCCATCCTGCGTGACAACCAGTGAAGAACGAGGCGCCACGTTCCTTAAAGGGCAACTCCGCTTCATTTTTGATATTTAGAAAACTATGTAGCCCTCTTCAGTATCATATAGGAAGACCCCACGTCAAATATTACGATCTAATTCCGTTTATTTATTTAATAAACTGGCCGGCAAACCTTCAAGCGAGCCAAGTCGCCGAAATCTGCCAACTCTAGCGTGCGGCGCGAGGCGCAATCATCAGCGCAGTCAATGCCACGGAGTTGGAGCGGCCAACGTTGAGCCACTACGTCAGAGGCATGTACGTCATTCTCACGTTTTGCTTGTTTTTATTTCTCAGAGCGAAATGCAACGATGACGTCATGAGTTTCTCCTCCCGGTGTTGGCTGACCGGGCGTTCACGTGATCACCGTAACACGGATGCGCTACTCCCCCCCCCCCCCCCCCCCCCCCCCTTCTCTTTCGTCTTTTCCCTTCCCCCTCTCACCCAGGCCATCACCGTCCACGCCACGCGAAGCGACCTTCCCGCGTCCGATAAAAAGAAAACAAAAAAAAACAAAAAAACCTGCTCGCGTCGCTTGTCCTGTTTCTCGCTCCCTCCCGAACGTCACAAGACCACGTGGTTCGACGTGACGCGCATGCCTTTGACGACCCGAGACCGATGTTGCCTGACGCAACCGAAGTTTCGGTTTCGGTATCTGCTGACGTTTAAATTAGGATTACACAAATAATATTCCACATTTCGCGAATCCGAAGACGTAGAGTTGTTTAGTAGTGTTTTGTGAATTTGAATCGCATGGAAGCCTAAATTTTTCGGAATTGAGCGGAGTTGCCCTTTAACACTTGGCCCTTTGTGACCCTCTGTCCTTTGTCCCTCAGACGTACCACGTCACCTTCCCGTAGTGGCCTCAAAAGACATCCTTTGGTGTTATCCTGTGTGTGTTTTCTGGCTGGTTTTGGAACTGCTGGCTTGAAGTTAGGAAGACGGGACCTAATGCGGCGTTCCATTAGAAGCTCGCTGGGGCACCGGCCATCCTCCAGGGGTGTAGATCTGCACCCAAGCAATCCCAGCCAGAAGTCTTCATTAGGTTCAGCACTTTTCCGCAGTATTCGTTTTACCACTTGCACACCCTTTTCTGCAAGTCCGTTGGAACCTGGAAAATGCGGACTGGACGTGGTGTGCTTAAAATCATACTTCAAAGCCAAACTCTGGAACTGACGTGACGAGAACTCTGGACCGTTGTCGCTGCACACCTCTAGAGGTATTCCGTGTCTAGCGAACATGCTGCTTAATGTCCAAATAACAGTTTCTGATGTTGCCTCTCTGAGCATCTCTACCCCTGGGAAGTTGGAAAAGGCATCATTGGTAACTAGGTACGTGCTCCCCGCCTGCTCAAAGAGGTCTACACGAACACGCGTCCATGGTAAGCCTGGAACCTCACGCATCATTAGTGGCTCGTTCGGTTGCTTGTACGCAAACTGTTGACAGATTGAGCACCGGTGAATCATTTTCGTGATATCTTCGTTAATGCCGGGCCAGAAAACTAACTGTCTTGCTCGTGCTTTACACTTATTGATACCAAGGTGGCCATCGTGTATCCTCTCGAGTATTCGCTGGCACATGGTCTCTGGGATGACCATCTTTACACCCTTAAACAAAACTCCAGATCCTTCTGTTAATTCCCCGGTCAAAGGTTTGTACTGTCCAGAAATAGGGAGGTTTGCTCGGAGGCAGTTAATTACGTTCGTGAGGACGGTGTCCCGAGCAGTTTCACGCACGAACTGAATCTTAGTTGCTTCGCTTACTAGGCTGTGCTGAAGCTCCAATGCATACACCTCAACATCGGTTAGTTCTGTGCCGCTTGGCTGCCCAGAGGGAAGTGCTCTCGAAAGGACGTCTGGAACCACCAACTCTCTGCCAGGGACGTACGTCAGCTGGAACTCATACTTCATGAGCCTCAAGAAGAAACGCTGCAAGCGCGGTGGCATATCTCCTACACCTTTTTGTGCAATCGCAATCAGAGGTTTATGGTCAGTTTCCGCACAAAGTGGTGGAATTTTTCAAGACCACAAGTGACTCCAAGAGCCTCTTTTTCAATTTGCGAATAGCGTGTTTCCGCACTAGACAAGACTCTTGAAGCGTAGGCCACTGGTTTCCATCCCTCAACATGTCATTGTAAGAGCGCCGCGCCTATCCCATATTTTGAAGGATCCGAAGATACTTTCGTGGGTCTTGCCGGATCAAAGAGTGCGAGCACTGGGGTTGTAGATCTGAGATTTTTCAAATGTTCCCATTCCATTTGGTGTGAGTCAGACCACTCAAACACTGAGCTGTCTTTAATAACTCCGTGCATTAACGTTGTCCTCAACGACAAGTTAGGCAAAAATTTAACAAAGTAGTTTGTAAATGCCAATAATCTTGGCACTTCTTTCTTACTTATTGGTTGTGGAAAATTCTGAATGCTCTTAACGGGAGCTGGGCTTGGGGAGATACCATTTTCATTAATTACGTCCCCCAAGAACTCAATTTCCTTGCGGGCCAGTTTGCACTTGCTCATGTTGAACGTGAGACCCTCTTGACTGGCTCTCTGCTGTACAGCGCGTAATCTGTCATTGTGCTCGGCCTGTGTTCTACCCCACACCAGGATGTCATCGATGTATACTCGAACTCCGGGTAAACCCGCAAGCATTTGAGACATGGTCTTCTGAAATACTTCCGGTGCGGAAGCTATTCCAAACGGTAGCCGGACGTACTGGTATCTTCCAAATGGAGTAGCAAATGTGCAGATTCTCGTGGTCTCATCATCTAACGGTATTTGGTGAAACCCGGTATTTGCACCAAGGGTTGAAAACCATCGTGCATCAGAGAGCTCTGCCTCAATGTCTTCCCTTTGGGGAAGTTGGTAATGCTCTCGCTTTACCCACTTGTTTATGTTACGGGGATCCAGTCATACCCTGAGCTGTCCGTCTCTTTTAGCGCAATAAACGAAGGACTCACCCAGTCAGTTGGCTCATCCACTTTCCGGATAACGTTGGATGCGGTTAAGCGCTGCAGCTCCCTCTCCAGTGGCTGCCGCAAAGCTTGAGGGACTCGCCGGGCTGCTTGTACCCAGTCATGGGTAAGTTACTTTTAAAAAGTAATTCGTTACAGTTACAGTTACTTTTAGAAAAAAGTAGCGAAGTTACCGTTACAGTTACCGCAAGAAAAGAGTAACTCGTTACAGTTACAGTTACTTTTAATAAGTAACGACGTTACTTTTCAGTTACTTTTCTATAAAACAAAAACAAATTTAGAAAAATTAGAAAACGCTCCACACAACGTTTTATAGTATAAAATTAAGAAAAGTACACTTTTTACTTCATATTTTAACTTAGCAGCAGTTGCTCCTCGAGGTTGGTGTTTGAAAGCTTCCATGCCAGACTAGTGGCGCAAATCAAAATAAGGAAACATACGCATTGCGGAGTAGTGGCGCTAATCAAAATACGAGACATGCACAGTGTCCTTCCCGTGTATTGTTGTTTCACGGTTGATTCACCCGATTAAAATGCGTTTGCAGAGAAAAAAAGAAAAACCACAACATCAGTAACGCTTCAAGACACTAAGATTAAGTGTTCAGTCACTAAGTACAAGCGCGTGCGTAAAGATAGCTAGATATTTTGTCATAAAATCTACACGTGGCTATATTCGGGTCGTGACTCGCAAGAAGGAACGTATTCACAACTTAGTGCAGGGCCAACTTGACACTTGAAATGTCGGAATAGACGATTTTGAAAGTGCAAGGAATTGCTAAATTGCACTCGTTCAGTGATATATTATTCATAAAACACTGGAAAGTAACGACAAAAGTAACGTCGTTACTTTGATCGTTACCTAAAAAAAAGTAATAGAACTACAGTTACAAGTTACATTTTTAAAAAGTAACTCGTTACAGTTACAAGTTACCAAAAAAGTAACGAAGTTACAGTAACGCGTTACTAGTAACGCGTTACTACCCAAGACTGCTTGTACCGTTGGTCTGGCTCCTTCCTTTAGCACCGTGTGGTATGCCCGTTTCAGACGACCTTACCCCTGGAACACCTCGGGGAATTAGGAGGTCACTGCGCTCAAGTTATCGCAGGAAACTGCCGAAACACGATTCACGAGTCCAAGGAGTTCACTGGCCTGGAGACCGAGAATGGGAGCCCGCGACTTTTTCACAAAGAAGAACTCGATGAGTTCTTTTGTGTTGTTGCACTCCACAGTGAAGGATGCTTTTTCTGCGTGTGCAATTATGCTGCCACTGTAACCGCGCAAAATTGTGATGCTCCTTCGCAAATCCGAACTCCTGCCTGCTCGTTTCCACCACGACAGTGGCAACAAGTTTGCTTGGGCTCCAGTATCAATCTTCAGCATGATATCCTTATCAGCTACCTTCGCCGGTATCAGCCACTCCGCTTGATTACTTGCAGAAGTGCGTGCTCCCACCTCCAGAATTTCAAAGTCACTCCCCTGCATAAACATAATAAACATTTTCACAACACTGGAGTTGGTTTTCGGATGCGCCACATGTTCAGATGTTCAGGAGAAGTCGAGCGAGTGCAGCACAATGCAACCAGTCTGCCTGTCTGGTATGTCTTATTAATTAATATTGAGGGGTCAGAGACGCGAGTGTCCTCAAAAGGTCCAGCACATACGTTGAGCACATTCTTTTTTTCTGTATAGACTCTGAGGGCGTATAGGCGAGCGGAAATATGTTTATTTGTTTAGTGTATAAAATATGTTTATTTCCAATTGATCAAATAATTATTGGTTCTTTGGAAATTCTTCCATAACGAGTTCTTTCGGCGACAGTCTCGTGTCAGGCGTCCAGTCGTAGTACCTGTGCTCGTTGGTGTCGAATGACGCTCCTGGCACGTCGGTGTTCAGTTTGGTCAAGTGACAAGTTTCACCGACTGATGCCGTCTTGTGATCATACGTTACGTGCGGCCACTGACATCTGATGCACTGAAGCTGCAGGGCTGGCTTCTAATCAGCAAATTTTCCTGGTAGTTTTCTGCGTCAACGCAGCAAGCTCGGGCATGTAATGCTTACGTGGCTGTGCCTTTTGCTGTACCGTTGACTTGATGGCTGGCAACAACGTTTGATTGCTATCCAAACCATTTCACTTCCACTTCGTAATGGCGATTTTTTCTGCATCCCACGACCACTGCAACTCGTGTAGGTCTCGTGTGGCTAAGTGATGTCGGGTGATGCTTGGTGTCCACTTTTGAGAAGAACCATTCTATTTCTTCAAGTCACTAAGCGGCATTCTCCCTCAAAGTTGGTAATTGTGTGCTTCGTTGCGCGGACACAGGTAATTGGTGTCAGCAAATTGTTAGGTTTTGTCCTTGGGCGACAACTGACACCAAGTTAACTGTCCTTGCATTGCCGCTCACCTGTTTTGTCGTTCTTACCTCCCGTTGAGGTGATGGGGATGGGAAGCTTCGGAGTAATGTCGGCACCAAAGGCAAAGGCCGCCCAAGGTAAACCTCAATGTCCCACGGACGCTCCTCGAGACGTTGTCCAGGGGCGTTCGGCACGAACCCTTGCAGACCAATTCATTGGTACGGGCATCTCCAGTAGACATGGTCGAATTCGTGCAGCACCTTCGTTTTCCTCTGCATACTTTGTTCAGCGGGGACCTACACTGGTTCTTCCCGATGTCGGGAATGCTTCGGCGTTGGGGTGTTGCGTTGAATTATCATTGAACGCTAACGGGTAGCCGGTGGCGGTCGTCGTGATTTTGCGGCACAAGTCGCCCTCGGTTCGTCAGATGCTGCTTGGATCGAACAAGTCTCCAGTTTAAATGCCTGTCGAAGTTGTTCTGAAACAATATTGGCAATCAAAATAAAAGCCGTTCAACCGATGGCAGCAAGTGGCTTCCTGATCTCATCACGGACAGCGTCGTGGATGATGTCGCGGATGCCTGGGAGGCTGGCGTCGAAGTAGCAGTTGAACGACTCGAGTGTCGAGACGCTGGAGAATTGTTGATAGTGACAGGCTCGGGCGTGCAGTGTACATTCAATGCTGGA